AGTTCAGGTTGCTTCATTCAGATCCTTTAGCGCCATCCCCTTTCCTGCTGTGTATGTCCCACTCCACTAGGCACCTGAGTCATTTCGCAGGCTCAGCTCCCTAGCCATCCCTCCTGGCTGGCCCATCCTTAAGACCTGTTGGGGATCTTTCCTTCCCTTACTTGCATCTTCTCACACCTTGAAGTGACCTTAGACCTTTAGGCGTTCCCAGTCTCTCACAGACTCGCCCTCACTGCAGTATCTGTCCCTGCCCATGCTGGCCCCAGCCCCATTACCCTGGCCCTGAGGCTGGCCTGCAGGTCTGGCACATTGTGAAGATGTGCACAGGAAAAGGACTTGGGTGCTTTCTGAGAGCTTCTGCAGTGTGTTGGCATTTGTTGTGGTGCCATGTGTGGTGTGGTCGTTGTGGATGGCATCATGTGTTGCATGTGCTGTGAGTGTGCATGTTTGGTATGCATGGTCTGTGTGTGTACGTGTGTGGTATTAATCCACCAGTAATTCCTAATTTCCATCTCTTTTTTCCTACAGTAAGGGTTCCCTATTTCATTGATTTAAAAAACCACAGGGGATCAAGGGTTGGAATCACACATGTAAATACTACCCGCGAGCCAAGGAAGATGTGACCATTGGAGTCTGAGTAAGTGGCTGGTAAGCTTCTGTAGCCCTGATCCAGCATGCAGGGAAAAGACCCTAATTGGCTTGAGCTGGGTGCTGTTCTTTGGACACTGGCTCTTGAAATGTGGCTGTCATTTTTATCCTTCACCTCTTCCTTTCCTAAAGAAAGGATCCTCGCCTAAATGAAATGCTGTGAGTAGCTTCCCAGTGTGGATGAGAGAACATTCAGGCATTTCTAACAGTGGTCCTTGGTAAAGAACATAAAACAAGAAGCCTAGAAACTTTGGAATCCGCTTTACCTTGTTTGCCACCCTACGTTCAGTTGCTCATCAGATCCTTTAGCGCCATCCCCTTTCCTGCTGTGTATGTCCCACTCCACTAGGCACCTGAGTCATTCGCAGGCTCAGTCTCCCTAGCCTCCCTCCTGGCTGGCCCATCCTTAAGACCTGTTGGGGATCTTTCCTTCCCTTACTTGCATCTTCTCACACCTTGAGTGACCTTAGACCTTAGCGTTCCAGTCTCTACACAGACCTCGCCCTCACTGCAGTATCTGTCCCTGCCCATGCTGGCCTCAGCCCATACCCTGCCTGAGGCTGGGCCTGCAGGTCTGGCACCATTGTAAGATTGCACAGGAAAAGGACTTGGTGCTTTCTGAGAGCTTCTGCAGTGTGTGCATGTGGGTGTGCATGTGTGTGTGTGTACGTGTGGATGCATATGTGTGCATGTGTGTGAGTGTGCATGTTTGTATGCATGTCTGTGTGTACGTGTGTGTATTAATCCACCAGTAATCCTAATTTCCATCTCTTTATTTCCTACAGTAAGGGTTCCCTATTTCATTGATTTGAAAAAACCACAGGATCAAGGTTTGAATCACACATGTAACTACTACCTGCAGCCAGAGGAAGATGTGACCATTGGAGTCTGGTAAGTGCTGGTAAGCTCTGTAGCCCTTCCAGCAGCAGGAAAAGACCCTACATGGCTGAGCTGGTGCTGTCTTTGACACTGGCCTCTGAAATGTTGTTCATTTTTATCTTCACCTCTTCCTTTCCTAAAGGAAAGATCTCAGTACATTTGATCCTAGTGTTGAGGGATTCAGTGACTTTAAACTCTTATTCCCAGCAAAGGCTTTGTGAAGAGATTATTATTTTTAGAGAACCTTCTTTCTAGGAAAAACAAACAAAGAAGCTAGAAACAGGATGTAAGTGGCCGGCACAGTGGCTCACACTTGTAATCTCAGCACTTTGGGAGGCCGAGGCGGGTGGATCACTTGAGTCCAGGAGTTTGAGACCAGCCTGGGCAACATGGTGAACCTGTCTCTACTAAAAATACAAAAAAATACAAAAATTGGCCGGGCGCGGTGGCTCAAGCCTGTAATCTCAGCACTTTGGGAGGCCGAGGCGGGTGGATCACTTGAGTCCAGGAGTTTGAGACCAGCCTGGGCAACATGGTGAACCTGTCTCTACTAAAAATACAAAAATTAGCCAGACATGGTGATGCACGCCTGTAATCCCAGCTACTTGGGAGGCTGAGGCAGGAGAATCACTTGAGCCCCGGAGGAAGAAGTTGCAGTGAGCTGAATTCACACCACTGCACTCCAGCCTGGGTGACAGAGCAAGACTCTGTCTCAAAAAAAAAAGAATATAAGGGAAGAATCGCAAACACTCTTTTGAATATATCTTCCATCCAAGCGCGGTAGCTCATGCCTGTAATCCCAGCGCTTTGGCAGGGCGAGACAGGGGGATCACTTGAGATCAGGAGTTCGAGACTAGCCTAAACAACATGGCGAAACCCCGTCTCTGCTGAAAAAAAGTACAAAAAGTAGCCGGGCGTGGTGGCACGCACCTATAGTCCCAGCTACCCGGGAGTTTGAGGCAAGAGAATTGCTTGAACGCAGGAGGCAGAGTGAGCCGAGATTGTGCCACTGCACTCCAGCCTGGGCAACAGAGGGAGACTCTGTCTCCAAAAAATATATATATATATATATGTATGTCTTTTCCAAGAAGTGAAAACAGCTTGATTTCTTTTCACATATAGCTTCGGTGATGGTGTTGGCTGTCTTCTAAGTATTTACTTTTTTAAGCCATAAATTTACGTTGGACATAAGCCTTGTGACTTCTCTGTGTCTCCTTGGAATACATTTTAATGTTTTCTTCTGTACATAAATGGTGCTTCTGAACAACTGAATTAAAATCGACCAACCTCACTGTGGCATTTCCCTTTTTCTCTGACAAGTGATCCTGAATCACAGCCCCTTTATCTAGCTGAATTTATTTTTCAGTAGCCATAACGTCCCTTTCCGCTGTCTCAGAAAACCACTGTGTATGTGAGAAGCTTCTAAATGAAATGCTGTGAGTAGCTTCCCAGTGTGGATGAGAGAACATTCAGGCGTTTCTAACAGTGGTCCTTGGTAAAGAACATAAAACAAGAAGAGAGATTTTTGTTCTTAGTAGTTGGTGCTAGAATTAAAGTCTTTTGTCACTTCCTGATTTGATTTAAACTAGCATTTACTGACCAACGTGTGACTGTGGGACTCTGGGTTTCTGTCTGAAGCGTGACCTGTTTTGCACAGAGCTGCTGAGTGGGACTTGGTCAGCCCTCTTCTTGGTTAATATGAGTCTGTCCTATTGCAGGAGGGTGTTTATGGTGGTAAGACGTAGGCTGGAAGTACTAACAACATCTGCATATATTATCAGTTACCAGAAAAGGTTTTGTTTAGTGATGCTAGTGGCAAGTCTCAAGGCGGTGCCACGCTGTGTGTTGCTGTGTGTTGGTGGGTGTGGCTGCTGCCTACTCTCATGCCCTAGGCAGTCACAATGACAGTGGGCCCTCAGGTAGCAGCGGGCCCAGCTCACCAACTGCCCCCACCATCACTTCATCAAACCCTCCCACCAGCTTCCTGAAAGGAGGGCCTCAAGGCCTAGCGTGAAGCCTGGGGGCCCTACCTGGCCATGCCTGGCCATCGCCTGTCTGCTGAGAGAAGAGGCCCAGGAATGGGTTTCTCTGCTGGCTAGGAGTTCCCTGGCTCTTTGTCAGGAACCCAGGTTTGGGGTGGGCTGGCTACTGGAAGCACATTTGCTCCCAGCACCTTCAAAATGTGCCGTCCTATCCCTCAAGTTTATAACTGTATGGGAGTGATGATCATAGTGACTAGATCCACCCCAAAATGTGATCCTCTTGAACGGATCAGAGACAGAAGTTAGATGAGATGCTGAAGCTTAAAATCTAGAAAATAAGAAGTTGGCCATTAAATTTTTTTTAAAGATTCTTGTCACTGGTATCCAGAATGAATTTGAAGAAGCTTTACAGAAAAGTGATTAATTTCGACCCTCCCCAGTGATTAACAATATTCGATTTGGCCTGAGTTAAAATTAACCTTAGTATCTCTCGGAAGGAGGGTTTGGCTAGTTAGACCAGCAGCTTCAGAGTGCCCAGCCAGGCGTGGACCATGAGCAGGCCGGGAAGTTGGTGCATACTCGACGTTAGAAATGGCATCAGCGATGGCCTGGTTTCTAGTCAAGCTCACAAACATTGGTGTTGCTGAATTAGCAAATGTGACAGCATGTACTGTTTAAAATCCATTGTGAGTTAAACTGTGGACAGGTGAAGCATGGGGTTAAGTGGGATGTGGGGCACATATGAGGAAAATGTTATTACTTAGGATGAACTAAGTGCTGCTTCTCTGCTAGGCGTCGGTGGTAACTGTCACATTGCAAGCCTTTGTGGCCCAGAGGAGGCTGGCCTGCCAGTCAGGGAACACTCCTGCTGAAGCTGTCAGCACCATCCACACAGCCTGCAGTTCCGTGGTTATTGATTCTAGTGATGGGGTTAGTTTTCTACCACCCACCCCCATCTGTTCCCCAGTAGTTAGATGGGGTCTGCAGCTCCCTGCTGTCTGGACTTGAGCTGATTAAGTAACACCACATGCAGTCGCCTGGATGAGGACGGAAGGAGCATCTGATCCTGCGCTCCCCTCTGCTTCTGTCTCCAGGCATACCGTCCCCGCAGTCTGGTGGAAGAACGCCCAAGGCAAAGACCAGATGTGGTATGAGGATGCCTTGGCTTCCAGCCACGCTATCATTCTGTACCTGCATGGGAACGCAGGTACCAGGTGAGGGAGGGGAGCCCATCTTTGCTATGGAGCACGGCTCCTTTTTGGGGTGGGAATGTCCTGGCCCAGTCTGCTGGAAACCAGCAGGAGCTAACCTGCGACCCCACAAAATCAGGAGTACTGATCCACTGCAATGAGGGAGAACCTCCCAAGAACAAAGGGAAAGGCAGAGTTCTTAAGGGGTTGAGGGAAGACCGAGTTTAGGTGAACGTTACATGAAGCAGGGTTCCCACAGCTTGAGGCCAGCAGGGCTGTGTTCCGCAGGGACTAAGTGTGGGAAGCTGTGTGCAGACCGTCTGCTATCTGGAACTCCAGCCTGGGTTGGGATGGAGGAGGCTGAGTCTCGGTCAGGGGTTGAGCTCCCGGGCCAGAGGGCATGTTTTTTTCTCCCTGTTGTAATCTCAAAGGGCACAGCATCTGCTGTTATGTGATTTGGGGAGCAGGGTTCTTGGAGAGTGAGGGCTTTGGGGTCCCTCTGAGAAGGGGTCATGGTGGCACTTGACTGTGGCAGCCTCATGCCCTTGGGAATGGGCGGCTCCAGCTCACTGGCAGCTGGTTTTCCCCATATCTGTCATGCAGCCTGAAGTGGCAGGCAGATCTTTGTTACCTGTAAGATAGCTCCAGGTGGCAGACAGGTGAAGCCAGAGCCAGGGCAGCCCTGGAGGAGGAGGCATACTTCCTGGAAAAAAGTGGCGGGTGCTGAGAAGGGGCAGAAGGGAGAGGCTGAATGTACCAGGAGCTGGGGTCCTTGCAGGGCACCCTACAGTGTGGGCTCTCCGCTCACTAACGGGCTGTTGGTGAAGTACATGCACTTTGTTTGATCAGCTCTGCCCAGTGCTATCTCAGATGCTTTTCCTGAGTGGGCCTAATGGCTTGTCCTTTCCACTGGCTGCTCTGTAGTTGGCCTCCCTGCCTTAAAGGGTGCTCCTTCCACACCATGTGACTGCTGTTCAGAAGAGCCTCTGTGGGAGAGCCCAGGGTGGGTGTGGGGGGGATACATTTTCTGAACAAAGCATTGTTTGAAAACCACCAAGGTCTTCATGTGTGAGAGAGGCAGCCAGGAGCCAGCGCAGAGGCAGACCCAGCATGGACACAGGGCTGCTGCAGGGCCAGGGCCGAGGTCCACTGTGGCACCAGGGTGTGTCAGGGCTAGGGGCAAACATTTTATAGGCAGAGCCAGCAAGGAGAGCCGTGCTGGGCCCTTCTGGAGGCGAAAGCAGGCCTAGGTGGGTGTCTGCATGGTGGAGCCCTGCAGAGGGCATTGCTGAAAGAGCCCAGCGGCATGGTCCATAAGGCGGTTTCTGTGCCAGGGACGGCGTGTCTAGCTACTGAATCACGCATGTGCTGCACGGTTTCCTTTCTTCTTTGTCTGGGACAAGCTGCAGCGGGTTTCTCTTCTGCTTTTCAAAGAGCAAGCGGCTACAAACAACTCCTGCAGCATCTTTTTATAAATGAGAGAACTGTGGTTGGCTGTGAATAAGGTTCAGTTCTGCAGTGCCCATCACATGGTTTAAAAAAAAAAAAGAACCTGCTTGTAACTTCAGGTTAGAAAATGATGCTGTGACTTTCAAGGTTTGCTGCCCCCTCCCACTCCTGCAGAGAGTGCCTGGCTGCAGGCCTCGCCACCCCCGTGTTGCCTGCTTTCTTTGTCCTGTGCATCCCAGTGGGGTTTCGCTGGTCTGTGGGATCCACCACGCGGATCTCCCTGAGGTCCCGACCCCCTGGATTCCCAGCAACTGTTACTTTTTTGCTTAATGTAGGAAATTTTATAAACTTAGAAAAGAGCCACTATGAACTCTTACAGTGATCACTGAAAATACTTTGCAGTGTTTCCTCCTTGTCTTGAAACTCCTTCCTTTATTTTTTATTTTAATTTTTGAGACAGAGTCTCACTCTGTTGCCCAGGCTGGAGTGCAGTGGCGCAGTCCTGGCTCACTGCAACGTCAGCCTCCCGGGTTCGAGTGACTCTTCTGCCTCAGCCTTCCGAGTAGCTGGGATTAGAGGCACCCACCACCACGCTCAGCTAATTTTTGTATTTTTAATAGAGACGGGTTTTACCGTTTGACCAGGCTGGTCTCCAACTCCTGAGCTTAAGTGATCCGCCCACCTCGGCCTCCCAAAGTGCTGGGATTCCAGGCATGAGCCACCGGCCTGACCCTTTACATTTTTGTTTCTGCACTTTATTGGCTTCCTCCTTCATCTCATCCTGGTCTCCCACCAGCAACACTCCTGCCCCCATACCTGAAATGGTGAAACCGCTCCTGAGGAAGGAGGAGCACAGCTACAGAGTGTGGACCCGCCCTCCTCCCAGGTGGCCCATGTCCCTGCTGTGGGGTCCGTCCAGGTTAACAGTGGGAAGGGAGCCTAGACAGGCCTCAGACAAGGAAGTACAAATGGGGGTGTGTTTGCCGAGCCCACTTAGTCTCCGTAGCGACATGCACGGTGAAGCTGTAGTTGACTGTGAGGGCCAGGAGGCAGCCATTCCTGCACTTCAGGGTCTCCCTGAGGAGATTCTAGGAGCATATCCCATGCGTGGAACACACACACGTGAAGGGCTGTAAGGCAGGGTGGTCGCGGCAGGAAATAGAAGTTAGTGCCAGGTGGGAAACAGCCGGGATGACCACGAGAGGCCAGGGCAGTGCAGCTAAGCAGATTTCTGAAGGTCAGCTGAGACGTGTGGAGCAAGAAGTGAGGGCAGAAGGTGTCCACACAGGCCCTGTTGGAGCACAGCCTCTGTCCACACAGGGTGTCCCTGGCACGGGGAAGCTGGGAGGGGCTGGGGTGTGGTGGATGAGGGCTTGCTGTGTTTCCTTTAGTGTCTTTCTAGTTTGGGACTATAGGTGTGCATTACCTACTGAAAAATAAAAGCAGTCGTTAAGAAATCTCCCCAGAGTGCTAAGACTATCTCCCCCTTGGCACAGCACTGCCAGAGGCGAGTGTGGGGCCACTTAGGGGGCCCCAAGGAGGAGGTTGCCCTCTTTCATTGGCCTTTCCCTGGTTTGGGGTACGGAGGACAAGTTGACCTGGGGCCTGACTCTGAGAAGATGTGCTCACACCATGTCCTGTTTCCTTCTCCAGAGGAGGTGACCACCGCGTGGAGCTTTACAAGGTGAGTGCAGGTGGCATCCACACCTGTTCCCTGGGCTGTTCTTTCCAGGGCAGGAAGTGAAGGGAGTCACCAGACTCACAGCTTGAGAGTTAACTATTGCTGTGCTGTTTCTGTGTGTGAGACAGGGTCCTCTTGCTCTGTTGCCCAGGCTGGAGTGCAGTGGTGCGGTCACAGATCACTGCAGCCTCGACCTCCTGGGCTCAAACTATCCTCCCACTTCAGCCTCCTAAAACTGCAGGTGCATGCCACCACCACACCCAGCTAGTTTTTGTTGTTTTTTTTATAGAAATGAGGTCTCCCTATGTTGCCCAGGCTGGTCTCAAACTCCTGGGCCTCCCACCTTGGCCTCCGGAAGTATTGGGATGACAGGTGTGAGCCACCATGTCTGACCTTTTGTTGGCCTTTTTAACACTGCCTTTGGATGGGTGTGCTAGAAAGTAGGGCCTTAGCTGCCTCTGCTGTGACTGCCCATCACACTGCCTCTAGGCTTGGGCCCCAAAATCGGAATGTATGGGCTTGGTAGACCAAGTGCAGATATTGGCAGACTACATAAATGGCATTGGAAATTGTTTTTCAATGTTACATTACTTGTGTATAAAATGAAAAGAGAGGGCCGGGCGCAGTGGCTCATGTCTGTAATCCCAGCACTTTGGGAAGCCAAGGTGGGCGGATCACAAGGTCAGGAGTTCAAGACCAGCCTGGCCAAGATGGTGAAACCCAATCTCTACTAAAAATACAAAAAAAATTAGCCAGGTGTGGTGGCAGGCGCCTGCAATCCCAGCTATTCAGGAGGTTGAGGCAGAGAATTGCTTGAACCAGGGAGGCGGAGGTTGCAGTGAGCCAAGATGGCACCGCCGCACTCCAGCCTGGGTGACAGAGCGAGACTCCGTCTCAAAAAAAATAAAGAAAAGAGAAACCAGGTGCCCCAGGTGCTACACTGACTGCCAGATCGCAGGCTCACCCCAGCAGAGGGTGCAGGCGGGATTTGAATCAGCTTCCAGGCACACAGTGGGAGCACCTGCAGATCTCCCCACGTCCAGGGGGTGTCTAGGGCAGGGCGTGCAGACCTTTACTTGTGCTTGGCTGCTTGATTTTGTTCTTCATCTGGTTGTCTGGGTCTTGGAGCCGAAGAGCTACTGTTGGAACAGCCTCACTCTCCTCCCCTCAGAGGGCCATCTGCACTGGCCCACAGGACAGAAGGGGATACAGACAGAGGCAGGGGCACAGACAGAGGTAGGGGCACACCCAGCTCTGAGCTATTGGAGGATTTTACCCCTGGAGTAAATTGCATTAAGTCAGGAAAGGTGGGGAGAGTTTGAGAAGTGATTGGTTCTTTCTTTAGGTTTCTGTTAAAAGAAATGATTCACCCTGCTGAGGTCAACAGGGTTGGAGCAGGTTGGCTCTGGGTATAGACTCTGTGGTGGCTAGGAGCTGGCAGGGAAGTGCCGGCTGCCCTGGGGAAGCACCCGACTCCCTCCCTAAAGAGGGGAGCTGTGATTCTGGGTGACGAGATGGTGCGGCAGCCTCCCATGTTGCTCTGGGCACACCCCAGCAAGGGCACAGGAGCGTTGAGGTGTGATCTAAATCAGAGAGGTCAGCTAGTCTGTAGGGATTGAAAAAAAAGTAACAGAAAAAAATTGACAAGAGCTTAAAATCCAAGAAATACTGGGTTGCAGCAAGGGTCCTCAGATGGGGTCCCTACACAGTATAGCCCTCCTCCTGGGGGTCCGCCATCACACTGCAGCACCGAGAGCTGTCCCCAGAGGAGGCCGCCCCAGAGGCTGCCCTGCAGCACGCGTGGAGCTGGGGCCTGGGACCTGGGACCTGCGGGAGTCTGCGCCTGGCCCTCTAAGTCTAAGCAGGAGGAAGGGGGATGCTTCCCTAGCGTCTAAGCAGCAAGAAGGGAGAGCCTTCCTGTGCTCCCAGGCAGGGATGTCAGCAGGTCCAGAAGCGGCAGTTGGCATCTGGGTTTCATAAAACCCAGCCGGGAGTCAGGCAGCATGTCACAGTCTTTGTGAAGCTGCCACTACGCACAAGGCATGGGAGGGAAAGTCGGATGAGTTTAGTAAGCGGCAAGCTGCCCTCAACACAGACACTTGGATTTGTTGCCAAAGATGTTTATTTTTCACTTTACAGGTGCTGAGTTCCCTTGGTTACCATGTGGTCACCTTTGACTACAGAGGTGAGATTTCTTTTGCAAGAGCATCTGAGCACATTTCCACTGCTTGCTGGCAGTATCCCATGGGCAGGCCTCACTTGAAGAGGCTCGGAGCAAGACCAGCGCCTGCTTTGGCTGTGCTGTGAAGGTTTCCTGGGTCCTGACAAAGCCCCTGATGGAGCTGCCGGGAGAGCCCCTTCTGGCAGGGGAGGCTCAGCACCTGGAGCCCCCAGCAGATGCCCTGTCAGCAACTTTTTTTTTTTTTTTTTTTTTGAGATAGGCTCTCACTTAGTCACCCAACCTGGAGTGCAGTAGCATGATCATAGCTCCCTGCAGCCTTGAACTCCTTTGCTCAAGGGATCCTTCTGCCTTAGCCTCTCAAGTAGCTGGGACTATGGGAATGCCACACCACACCCGCTACTTTTTTTTGTTGTTTTTAGTAGAAGTGGGGTATTGCTATGTTGCCTAGGCTAGTCTCAGACTCCTGGCCTCAAGCGATCCTCCTGCCTCAGCCTTCCATAGTGTTGGGATTACAGGCGAGTCACTGCACCCAACCTGCAACATTTTAAATTAGAAGATCCTGTCTTTTTTGGACTTAGACTGTCTCTGCAGCTGGACGTCAGACATGATTTATGCTCATCAAAGCTTGTCTTGTTAAAGTTATGAAGACAGTAAGAACTGTTAAGAGAGGCTGAGCACGGTGGTTCACACCTGTAATCCCAGCATTTTGGGAGGCTGAGGCAGGAGGATCACTTGAGGTCAGGAGTTTTTGACCAGCCTGGCCAACATGATGAAAACCCATCTCTACTGAAAATACAAAAATTAACTGGGCATGGTGGCTTGCACCTGTAGTCCCAGCTATTGGGGAGGCTGAGGCAGGAGAAGCGCTTGAACCTGGGAGGCGGAGCTTGCAGTGAGCCAAGATTGCACCACTGTAGTCCAGTCTGGACGACGGAGCAAGAACTGTTAAGAGAGAAGATAGATTCTTCTGCACCTCAGCATTTCTGCTTTTTTGAATGAACCAGGGCTTGCCACTGAACATATCAAGAATCCAGTTTGATATATACCAAGGACACTATGACTTAATGGGCAACAGAAATAACTTGGTGTTAACAGTGAATGACTGGTTTGTTTTGGTTTTGGTTTTGGTTTTGATTTTGCTTTGAGACAGGGTCTCACTCTGTCACCCAGCTGGAGTGCAGTGGTGTGATCTCCGCTTACTGCAACCTCTGCTTCCCGGGTTCAAGTGATCTTCCCAACTCAGCCTCCCTAGTAGCTGGGACCACAGGCACTCACCACTACACCTGGCTAATGTTGTTTTATTTTTTTTAAGAGAGTGTTTCACCATGTTGCCCAGTCTGGTCTCAAACTACTGGGTTCAGTCAGTCTGCCCACCTTGGCCTCCCAAAATGTTGGGATTACAGGTGTGAGTAAGCCACTGCACCTGGCTGAGAGACTGTTTTAGAGTGTATTCTGGCTGGGCATGGTGGCTCACGCCTGTAATCCCAGCACTTTGGGAGGCTGAGGCGGGCAGATTACTTGAAACCAGGAGCTCGAGATCAGCCTGGGCAACATGGCAAAACTCTACCTCTACTAAAAATACAAAAAAAGTAGCTGAGTGTGGTGGCAGGCGCCTGTAATCCCAGCTACTCGGGAGGCTGAGGTGGGAGGAAAGCTTGAGCCCAGGAGGCGGAGGTTGCAGTGAGCCAAGATCATGCCACTGCGCTCCAGCCTGGGTGACAGCGAGAGCCTGTCTCAAAAATTTCAAAAAGTGTATTCCACCATGTAGTCCTCAGCTGGAGAGATCAAAGAGTTGATGGCAGCATGGCTGGCTGCCTTCACCTTCCAGGGGGACAGGCAGCGTGTCTATCCTCAGACCAAGAGGAGATATAAGGGGAACAAAGGAGAGAGGCTGTCACCCGGATGTAGGGGTTGTGTTAATTCTCTCTTGCTGCTGTAACGTGTTAGCACAAACAGTGCTTTAAACCAGCACACATGTAGCGTCTTGCAGTTCTGGAGGTCAGAAATTCAGAATCTGCAGCCCCCAGGCTGGAATCAGGGCAGGAGGAAGGCTCTCAGGGAGAATGCCTGGCTGCCCTTTCCAGCCGCCTGTGTTCCTTGGCTCACACCTCTTCCGTGATTGAGTCCCAGGTCTTCTGGCTCTGACCCTGACTTCTCCCTTTTTCTCTGATGAGGACCCTTGTGGTTGTTTTGGGCCCACCCGGCTTGTCCAGGATCACCCCCTTCTCAAGGCCAGCAGTTAGCAGCTTTCATTCCTTCCATACCCTTCATTCCCCAGCCATGTGACCCAACACGTTCACAAGTGCCAGGGTCGTGGACAGTTGTGGGGGCCGCCATGCTGCCACCCACAGGGAAGAAAGTTCCACAAAGTTCCATTGTGGGCTGGGAGAAACTCCAGAATGAGGAGCGGGACGTGGTGTGCCCTCTCCTTCTCTTCGTGCTGACACGGGTTCTCTTCTGCTGCATGCTAGAGACTTTAGGAGAGGGAGAAGGGGTGACTTCTTCGCATTCATCTCCCCGCACTTCTGTCAGGAAATGAAATCCCACGCAGCACTTTCTGTTTCAGTTCTCGTGGAGTCTCCACGTTTCTAACTGGCACCAAGACTGCCAGCTCCGTCTCCGACTGTCCCTCTGTCTCTCTCACCGCATCTGCCTCTTTGTCTACATCCCTCTGCCTCCTGTCCCCGTCTCTGTGCCTCTCTATCCCTGTTAGTCTTCCTGCCTGTCTCTGTGCCTCTCTGTCCCTGTCTCTCAGTCTTCCTGTCTGTCTCTGTCTCCTGTCCCTATCTCTGTTCTTTTCTTTCTGTCTCATGTCCCCATACCCCTGCCTCCCAGCCTGGCCCTGGCCCTCTGCACGGCCTCCTCCCTCCTCTAGTGTCTGAGTCGGGAAACAGCAAGTCCTGCACTAACTGTGGGGTTTGCTTACACTGCACAACCTGCTCTTTCTGACCTTTGTGGTGCTTTCAGATCATCTGACGATGACTCACTGCTGGGCTGCTGGAAAGATAATTGCACTCCATCTTTGCTGGAGACTGGGGGGGACCCTTGGGAGGTTGTAATTTTGAGGGCAGAGATGGTAGTGTTTTCCGTTATGCAAACAAGATGCTAATTAGACCCTAAGGGAAAACAACCCCTTTCCCCTTCCTGGGTCAGAGTTGCCTTGCACCCAGAAATGCCCTCCCTGTTCTGGGAGCCTCCAGACTCCACTCCCTATCCTGCCCCTGACCAAGCCTTCGGCGTTGAGGAGGTTGGTGTCCAGCCAGCGGCCCGGGGGCTGCTCATCTGACCACACCAGCTGCACTGATGCTCGTCGGGGCCGGAGCGGGACACGTGGATGCTGCTGGGGGAGCAGGGAGAAGTGTAGAGCTGAGGATGGTGGTGGCAAAGGCTTCCACTGCCTCAGACCTCACTAGCCTGTCTGTTAAGAAAGAGAGGGAGAGGGTGAGCTCACCCCCCTGCGCAAGAGGGTGAGGCAAGCCGCAGCCCTGGCGTGAGGATGCCGGTGCCAGCTCTGAAGCTCTGTGATCTGTTGACTCAGCTTGCTGTTAGTTGTCATTCAAATTTGCAGCTCACCAACTTAGTGACCCTGTGAGGGGACGTCTGGTTTGTGCAGTCAGCAGGGGCAGGGCAGAGTTGCTGCTGGGCTGCCTTCCCCAGGGCTGGTGGGGATGTGGGGCTGTGCCCGTTCTCTCCACTGCTTGCTCTGCCCAGTGGCCTGGGTGGGTCTGTGGACTCTGGAAGGGCGGGCTGAGCGCGCCCCTCCCTGTCCCCTCCTGACCCTGGGCTCCCCTGGTGAGGTTTGTTTGTCCAGGTTTTGTGAACTGCCTTTGACCTCCCTGTCCTGCCGTTTCTCCCTCCCAGGTTGGGGTGACTCGGTGGGAACGCCATCTGAGCGGGGCATGACCTATGATGCACTCCACGTTTTTGACTGGATCAAAGCAAGAAGTGGTGACAACCCTGTGTACATCTGGGGCCACTCTCTGGGCACTGGGTAAGGGACCCCAGCAGGAGGCAGCCTTTAGTGGGAGCCAGTATTCCTGGTGACTGCCATGCCTGGATCTAGAGAGCCCGCCATCCCTGAAAACCCTGTGGCACCATTAGTCCCAACCAGCCTTGCTCCCGTCCCCGTGGCAGAGGCAGGAGGGGAAATTCCAAAGATACTCCAAAGGATTTGAGCTCCTCATCCAGAAAGTGGTTCAGGACAGACATAGGCCGTGGAGGTCGAGGCGTCTCCGCAGGGGGACTTGGCCCTGAGGAAGAAGCGTCTTCAGAGCTGGGGGAGGGCACAGTGGGTGGTTTGCTTCTCACATAGGCCAGGACAGGAGGTACTTCCACACGCCCTTTGTGGGCAGCCGGAGTCATCTCTGCTGTCCACAGTCTCTGCGGGAACCGTTGCTCTCGGCCCCAATCCCCAGACTTTCACTGCCATTCCCTTTCTGCTGCCTTTCCCTTCGGGGCAGCCCTTTCTCCCAGCGCCTGAATGGCCTCTTGCAGGCTGGGAAGCGTCCAGGAGAGGAGTGGGTGGGGGGCACTGGCCATCCTTTTGGCCGTCTGCATGGTCCGCCAGGTGTGGTCCTGGGATGGCGAGAGGCCCTGGGTGTGGTGGGCTCCAGGAGAGGTGCAGGCAGATGCTGGCCACCCCCAGCCGACGGGCGGCCCTGCCAATGGGAAGGCATGGGCAGTGAGAGGCAGCAGGACACACCTTGGGGACAAGGAGACTGGCTGTGGGTACAACCCTCATTGCAGGGGTCAGCTGTGGTAGGGCAGTCAGGTCACCCCCAGTGCTAGAGGGATCTCCATTTCCCCCAGTCTGTCCTCCAACTCCAGTAGCTTCACAGACCCCGTGGCTCCTCTGAGCACTTTCCAGCATAAGGCCCATATCATCTCAGACAATTTTATCATAACTCAACTACGCTGTTCTTCTTTTTTCCTAGTGTGGCGACAAATCTGGTGCGGCGTCTCTGTGAGCGAGGTGAGTGCCTTGTTGGGCCCCATCCGTGGCCGTGAGCATTCAGGGTGCTCCCCAGTCCCGGCCCTGCTGCAAGTGCTCAGCATCCTCACGGAGCAGCACGAGCTGGGCATTCTGGGGGGCCCGGGGCTGACCAGGCCGCCCTTCCCATGATACACCTGAGGAGCTGGGGAGCCTCACACAGGCCTGGCCCCAGAGAGGCCGCATCAGCAAGTCTGCTTTTTAGGAGTGACCAGAGCCATCTCCGGCCCGCCGTGGGCGCCCCTGGAGCTATCTGAGGCCTGCCAAGGTGGATGCCTAGGGGGAGGCACTGTGGTCTCCCTGTGCTTTCTGGGGGCCCCTCAGAGCCCCACAGGCCACGTGTATGTCGCTGGCTTCCTGCCCACCTCTCAGTTCCCTGTTTGTTTATCTAGAGACGCCTCCAGATGCCCTTATATTGGAATCTCCGTTCACTAATATCCGCGAAGAAGCTAAGAGCCATCCATTTTCAGTGGCAAGTACATATTTTATTAAAAATTGACTTCTCATATTATTAAGATAATTATAGAAATAACTCATTATTAAGATAATTATAGAAATAACTAATAGGATAGGTTATGACTTTAAAATTATTTAAATATGCTGATGAATACAGATTTCATTAAAAATTAATACTAGTTTTGGCCACAGAACTGCCTGAGAAGTTTATAACCTGCAGCCAGGTGAAATGACAGGCCATAGTTGGGTCATGTGAGGGCAGCGAGACCCAGTGGAGGCCGGGTCCACATGGTGTCATCGACTGCGTTATATTGACAGCCCTGCCTTCCCGCTCAGGAGTGGAGCTGGGGGTGCCCCCCTCTCTGTGTATGAGGACAGTGCTTGGGGAGCTGAACTCTGTGGACCAGGGAGCCTGGCCTCCCAGTTTATCTTGGGGAAAGGCCTGGGTGAACCCCAGTGGGAATTCTGGGTAAGCCAGGCCCCATCCAACCTGTGCCCTCCCCAGCTAGGAATGGAACCTTGGACCTTTTCTTAAAACCTAGCCAGTTATTTTCCCCTCCTTCTCACGCTGGTTTGTGATCTCCGTGCTCCCCACTGGCCATAGATTCTTGGGCCTGTGTCAGCCCATCCTGGCCTCATGCTGTTCTGTTACTGACCAGAAGAGCCTTTTATCTTATCTTACTTTTTGGTGCTGCTTTTCTTAAATTGTGTGAGGAAACTGTCCATAGACCCCATTTTCTCAGGGGTGGCAGCCCTGGTGTCTATGGGAAGACTGGTGTCTGGGCTGGATTCCGGCCTGGCTGGGAGGTGCGGGAACACCATTTGCAGGGCAGCCCCTGCCATGCCAGTCTGTGGGGCCTGGCAGGTGATTCTTCTGTCCCTAGCAGCAAAGCCAGGACACGGCCAGGGCAGAAGGTGCCAGGGCACAGCTCTGGTGGCCCCTTGGCAATGTCCCCCGTGCTCCTTTAGATAGGGTAGTTATGGGCAATGCCTTGTAGATTCCTGAACTTAAACTGTCTGCACCCTTGACCTTTGACTGGATATCTTAACCAACACTTCTGAAAATGGTTTCCATCTTGTCTCCAGATATATCGATACTTCCCTGGGTTTGACTGGTTCTTCCTTGATCCTATTACAAGCAGTGGAATTAAATTTGCAAATGACGAAAAGTGAGTACTATGGGATAGGAACTAATTTTCCTATTTAGAAAAACTCTGAGAACCCCTGGATGAGCCTCTTTAGTCACAGTAATCAAATAGGATGGAATTCAGAGTATTTAGGGTCGTTCTCTAGCAAACAGGTTTAAAAAGGGAAAGCCTGCCAGGGACCGTGGTTCACACCTGTAATCCCAGCACTTTGGGAAGCTGAGGAAGGCAGATTGCTTGAGCCTAGGAGTTTGAGACCAGCCTGGGCAAAATAACAGGACCCTGTCTCTACAAAAAATCCAAAAATTGGCCAGGTATGGTGGTGTCATGTACCTGTGGTCCCAGCTACATAGGAGGCTGAGTTAGGAGGATCACCTGAGCCTGGGGAGGTCAAGGCTGCAGAGAACCGTGATTGCACCACTGTACTTCAGCCTGGCTGACAGAGAAAGAAATAAGAAATCTGAAAAGATCACAGAAGTAAAGGAATATTAAAATAATACATAGTTTTTGTCCATATAGTTTTTTGTTTGTTTGTTTGTTTTTGAGACAGAGTCTCACTCTGTCGCCCAGGCTGGAGTGCAGTGGCGCAATCCGCTCACTGTAAGCTCCGCCGCCTCCCAGGTTCACGCCATTCTCCTGCCTCAGCCTCCCGAGAAACTGGGACTACAGGCACCCACCACCACGCCCGGCTAATTTTTTTTTGTATTTTTAGTAGAGACAGGGTTTCATGGTGTTTGCCAGGACGGTCTCGATCTCCTGACCTGGTGATCCACCCGTCTCGGCCTCCCAAAGTGCTGGGATTACAGGTGTGAGCCACCGCGCCCAGCCCCATATAGTTGTTTTATTTCAAAATGGTTTGTGACAGCCAAAAGACATATTAAAACAGTGATATTAACTGGTTGGTCTTTCTTTCTTTCTTTTCTTTCTTTTCTTTCCCTCTTTCTCTCCGTCTCCCTCTCCCTCTCTTCTTCCCTCCCTCCCTCCCTTCCTTCCTTCCATCCCTTCCTTTCCTTCCTTCCTTCCTTCCTTTTCTTTCTTTTCTTTCTTGACAGAGTCTTGCTGTGTCACCCAGACTGTAGTGCAATGGCGTGATCTCGGCTCACTGCAATCTCTGCCTCCCAGATTCAAGTGATTCTCCCTCCCGAGTAACTGGGATTACAGGCTTGCGCCACCACAGCCGGGTAATTTTTGTATTTTTAGTAGAAACAGGGTTTCACCGTGTTGGCCAGGATGGTCTCAAACTTCTGATCTCAGGTGATCTCCCCGCCTTGGCCTCCCAAAGTGCTGGGATTACAGGCATGAGCCACTGTGCCCGACTGATACTAACTTACTCAGAAAATGACTTTGCCTCAGCCATTTGATTTGTGTTTGGTTATAGAAAAATATTACAAAGTTTATTGTTAAAAATATATTAGATAAACCAGAAGTTAACTATTCTAATTAAGGGTTCTTTTTTTAAACCTTTTTCAGATTGCATTGACATTGTCTTTGTGACATTTTTATATCATGGATTTTGATTTCTTTAAAAAAGAGGGAAAGTAGGCTGGGCGCGGTGGCTCCCGCCTGTAATTCCAGCACTTTGGGAGGCTGAGGTGGGTGGATCACAAGGGCAGGAGATCGAGACCATCCTGGCTAACACAGTGAAACCCTGTCTCTACTAAAAATACAAAAATTAGCCGGGTGTGGTGTCTTGCGCCTGTAGTCCCAGCTAATCAGGAGGCTGAGGCAGGAGAATCACTTGAACCCGGAAGGCCGGAGTTTGCAGTGAGCCGAGATGGCGCCACTGCACTTCAGCCTGGGCCACAGAGCGAGACTCTGTCTCAAAAAAAAAAAAGAGGGAAAGTAAAACACCCTATAAATATTTAATTTAATTTGAAACAGAATATGAAAAAAAAGGAGTATTTTTTCCCCTCAAGTATGTTTTGGTTCTAAAAATAAAAATAGAACAAATTAAAAGTTGAGCAAATATATTAAGCAACAAACCGTGCTTGTTTGTAAATGTTACTGTTTTGGAACTTGAAAAAGAATTATCCGGGGGGCGTGGTGGCTCACGCCTGTAATCCCAGCACTTTGAGAGGCTGACACGGGTAGATCACCTGAGGTCAGCAGTTTGAGATCACCCTAACATGGTGAACCCCACCTCAACTGAAAATACAAAATTAGTTGGACGTGGTGGCGCATGCCTGTAATCCCGGCTACTTGGGAGGCTGAGGCAGGAGAATCGCTCGAACCCGGGAGGCAGAGGTTGCTGTGAGCCAAGATCATGCCATTGCACTCCAGCCTGGGCAACAAGAGCAAAACTCCGTCTCAAAAAAAAAAAGAAAAGAAAAGAAAAGAAAAAGAATTATCTGAATGAACTGGATTCCTTCTTAAAAAACAAGGTTTCAGCTGGGTGTGGTGGCTCACCACGGTAATCCCAACATTTTGGGAGGCTGAGGCAGGCAGATCACGAGGTCAGGAGTTTGAGACCATCCCGGCCAATATGGTGAATCCCTGTCTCTACTAAAATACAAAACAATTAGCCGGGTCTGGTGGTGCACGCCTGTAGTCCCAGCTACTCGGGAGGCCGAAGCAGGAGGCAGAGGTTGCAGTGAGCTGAGATTGCACCAGTGCACTCCATCCAGCCTGGTGAAAAAGCAAGACTTGTCTCAAAAAAAATAAAACAAACAAAGCAAGTTTGACCCTGGGTGAGACCCCCACCCTCAGCTCACTGGAAGTCAGGGGCACGCTCTGAGGGCAGGAGGGGCTTTCCTGAGCTCAGGTGGGCCGTGTTCCGGGAAATCCCAAGTACTGCCGCTTCCTTCACAGCCTCTGGTCAGAGGGAGGCTCTGACCAGAGCCTCATCATTTCCGCACATCAGAAAAGCCTTACTGGGAAGCAAGAGTGTGTGCCTCCTGCCAGCAGCAGAGACAGGGAGGGGGCTCCCAACCAGGTCCTGCTCCAGGTTCCAGGAGCGCGCCAGCGCTGCCCTCACGGAGCCCACAGCCCTGTTGGGGATAAAGGAGACTTGGGTCAGGTGCCACCTTAGTGAGGGCCACACAGGACAGCCGAGGCTCTGCCGGTCCTGGCAGCCCATGCTTCTATTATGTGGTTTGCTGAAGGATTTGGCTCTATCAAACCTACTGAAAATCCTAAATCACTTCTAAATGTTCAGAGTTGGAGTGACCATAAATGTCACTTACACAAAGATAAATTAGAGGACATTGACTTTTTTTACCAGCAGATTCCTAGTAACATTCATTTACACTAAGTTTCTTGGCCCACCTGAATTATTCAGCTTAAAAATATTGTTTTGTGACTTTTAAAGAATATATCTGGTGGAAAAATAATCATTTTCAATTTTCAGAAGACATTCCCGGGGCCAGTTATATAGCTGTGATTGACACCTGTCATCTAGCTGGAATAGATGTTCATAGAGACAATGAAGAGTTAACTTTCGGTTGTCTAGTAAAAAGAAATCCAGCAGAAATCGGACGGTTCCGTGAAACACACCCTGAACCCAGATCCCTGCCACGGACAGAGGGTCTGGGCAACTCTGTCCTTTCCCTGGTCTTGGCCTAGCCCCTTTTCCTTCCCACAGTGTGAAGCACATCTCCTGTCCCCTACTCATCCTGCACGCTGAGGACGACCCGGTGGTGCCCTTCCAGCTTGGCAGAAAGGTGGGTCCTGGCCTCTGCCTCTGGTGTAGCTGGCATCTTGCACACTCAGCCAGTGTGGGTGAGCCAGGCTGGGAGTGGGCAGGTGGGAAGGCAACCCCTGCATGCTGCATCATGGGCCGTGCACCAGCCACGTCAGGCTCAGGAGGCCACCTCGTCCTCCCTGTGTCATCTCCAGGCTGCTTCGGAAGGACATGGGAGGTCTGGTGTCAAGGTTGGGCAGAGGCCCACTGATGCTGTCTCCAAGAAGAACTATGAAAAATAAGCAGATAGTTCCCAGTCCTCACACGGGGGTTCTCAGGGCAGGCTGCCTGTGTTATCAGAGCCCAGGCAATTCCCAGTCCTCACACGGGGGTTCTCAGGGCAGGCTGCCTGTGTTATCAGAGCCCAGGCAGTTCCCAGTCCTCACACGGGGGTTCTCAGGGCAGGCTGCCTGTGTTATCAGAGCCCAGGCCAACCTGGCACTCGGCTGGAAGGGCTCATCAGTTATGGGCTGAAGGCAAAGAACCCCTCGATGAGGATCTCCCAAGCCCATTGCAGGGGTCAGTCAAAATTGATACAGAAACTTCTAGCCTGTTTCCTTGCCTTTGGAATTGCACTGATGTCAGAACCAGACCATGTTGTCTGTGGGGCCTCAGTGTTTGCTTTTGCTGAATTTGCTTTGACTATCAGCAAGTTGGATTGGATTTGTGGCTCAGAGTAGGGTAAGAGAACGCAGCCTGGGTCTTGGTAATGGCAGGGCAGGGTAAACTAGTTGGGTGCGTGCAGGCCTCGTCCACAGATTCAGCCCAGGGCTGGGAGCACTTCCTGCTCTGACAGCCCCCATGCAGTGAGGCTCCATAAGGCACACAGATGACAGAGCCATACAGGGTAGGGGCAGGATGCAGAGCCGCCCAGCAGCATATAGCTCAGGCCCACCCACCCTTGCCGACATGGGAGGGAGGGGGCTGAGATGGGCATATCAAGCCCACCTTAGCTAAGCCTGAGGCACATACCCTTTGTCCCAGCTCCCGAAGACTCTGCCATCCCTGCCATCAGAGCCTCCCAGGCACCTGGTCTGGCCCATCCACCTAGCCACTCCCCAGAGGAAGGGCAGTCTGGAAGGTGTGAGGACAGTATCTTGAGTGGTGTGTGTGCCAAGGAGCCAAGCCTGGGGCCTGGCTCCTGCCAGCCCACCCCTGGGCCTCCTGGTTGTGACTGGCTGTGGCAACAAGCAGTGTATGTGGGACTCTGGACTGGTTTCTATTGAAGGGGAGGCTGCCAAGCTGATGTTCCTCAGGCTGGGACCCCCATGCCAGGCCACTGCCTCAGTCTCTGACCCCTTTCTCTCCCCAGCTCTATAGCATCGCCGCACCAGCTCGAAGCTTCCGAGACTTCAAAGTTCAGTTTGTGCCCTTTCATTCAGACCTTGGCTACAGGCACAAATACATTTACAAGAGCCCTGAGCTGCCACGGATACTGAGGTGAGACATTCTCTTCCCACCCAGGCGCTTCGTCTGGGCAGCAGTGGCTCACATCTAAGCATGCAGCCGGTGGCAGCTGCTGAAGCTGCTCGCAGGGGGGCCTCAGTGGGGCCAAGAGTCACAGTGATTTGGGAGCCTTCCATTTCCTTGGCAGAGGGGTGTGAGGGAGTGCCTCTCCCCTCCTCCAGGACTGTTCCCATGATCATGCAGGGTAAGCCGCCTCCCTGTTGTACAGGATGTACAGACTCACACAGACCCACACAGAGGGGCACACACGCTCACAGGTGGCCACACACTTGAGAGCACTCAGACACAGACACCCCAGATGCTCGCAGACCTCGGATCTCTTCCACACACCTCTCAGATGTACATGCTGCCCCTGGGCCAGCTCCTCAAAAGCCTGTTGGTCCCCAGCTGCTTCTTGAAGGGACGCTGTGCTCCTGGACTGCCCTGCACTGGCAGGACATCGGCGCCAGCCCAGAGAGCCATGAGTACCTACCTGGGCCTGAGTGCAGAGCCCAAGCCTGAGGGTGAGGCCTTGGCAGTAGTGACAAGGGCAGTGTGTGGAACGGACCAACCCCCAGCCTTCTCTGTACTGCCCTGGGCCCTATGCAGGTTGCTGCCCAGACTCGCCTACCTGCCCGTCAGAGGACACAGGCTCCATCCCACCGCCTGGCTGGTGTGGCCTTGGGCAAGATGCTAACCCTCCCTGTGCATGGGACAAGGCTTCCGAGCCCAAGAGGGCATGTGGTACTTCGACCCTGAGCACTGGACCCATGGAGGGGCTGCTGCTAATGGTGATAGGGTTTTTTGTTGTGTCGTGCCAGTTGGCTCCAAAAAGTAGGTCAAGGTGCCAGTTTCTCCCAGAAGGGGACTGAAATTGGTGGCCTGAATTGCCTCCCAGTGCTGTATATCCTATGGGTAATTCTACTGCAAACTTCTGCTTTTCTCCAGCCGCCTTTGGAAGTTCCAGAGGCAAAGCTGTGTCCCTTTAGCGGTTTGCCATTCCCGGGCACAGGGACCTGGGTTGCTGAGGGGACAGTGGGCTCAAAGAGTATAGGTTTGCTTTGTGGTTATAATTTTCCCCCTTATAAAAGGAAGATTATAGAAAATTTAGGCCAGAGAATAGCTCTGAAGTTGAGGGTCAAGAATCAGAGGCCTTGTGTCCGTGCCTGTGTGTTGGGCTTTGGCACCGTGCTGCTTGCGCCCTGCCTAACTCACTGAATGCTGCTCTGGGCTACAGCGAGTCCTCACAGAGCTCTTGGCTGCCTCCTCTCTGCACAGCCTCTGCTTCCTTAGATAGCAATGTGAGGACTGTGGAGAAGGATCTTTGCTCAAATCTGAGCTCAAATGATTGGCTCCTGATTGTCCTGTGGTCTAGGGAATTCCTGGGGAAGTCGGAGCCTGAGCACCAGCACTGAGCCTGGCTGGGGGAAGGAAGCATGAAGACCTCTGCCCTCCTCCCATTTTCCTCCGGTCAGCAGCCCGGCATCCTGGAGCCCCAGGGGGCCAGCACCTGCAATGCTCAGGAGCCCAACTTGCACCTGGAGAGGACTCAGATGCCAGGTGGGGAGGACCCTGCAGGCCTGCAGTGCCCGAGGCCTGAGCGTGGCTGTGTGTGGAAAGCGTGGGTGGCAGGCACATGGCTCTCCTTGCCGCTACGCAACCTGAGATCTTGTTGGGAGACTTATTGACAGCAGGCAGCCATCACTGCCTGGTTGATGCTGCACTGAGCTGGGCGGGGGGAGGCCGGGCAGGGGACTCTTAGGGCTCAGGACCATGCTGAGCTTTCCGGCACCACCCACAGAGAACGTGGGGTCCAGGTTCTTTCTGCCCCTTCCCAGCACACGCAGAATGACTCCAGTGGTTCCATCGTCCCCTCTTGCCCTGTGTACCTGCTTGCCTTCGTCGGCTGCCCTGCCTCCTCTGGGCTGGCCCACTCACCCACAGTGGAGGTGCCCAGGATCTGCACTTCCTCCCCTTTCACCCACCTGTACGCCTAACCTGGCCTTAGACTGAGCTTTATTTAAGAATAAAATTGTGGTGGTGGTCCTTTTGTCTCTCTGCAGCGCAAGAAGGGTCAATGTTGCCTCCTGCCCCGCACACTCTCAAAGCCCCAGAGCCGCCCACAGCCCCAGCCAGGCTCAGAGCTCAGCCTCTGGCTGCTTTGGAGCCACTCCATGACTCAGCCTCAGGCTATGAAATTTCCATTTCCAGCAGCTCAGAAATTTGTCAGGAGTAGGAAGTTTTGTTCACCTGCCCACCCCTTTCTCCAAGTTGCAGGCCCAGCATCAGCAGCTGTGGGCTGGCAGGGAGCCCAGAGGTCCTTGCGGTTGCACTCCCTCTTCGCTGGGGTACCCTGAGCTACCTACAGTGGCTCTCAAATCCAGAGAACACTTTTCCTACACAGGGGAGCAGCTGAGTAGACATTCCTCCAGAGGTCAGTCATGAAAACGCTGGCCCCCTTCCTGGCCAGGGTATGTCCCGGCTCCCCGTCTCTAATTAGGGTGTCATTTCTGTTCTGCCCACCCATGGCCCCGGAGACACCACGTGCCCCTGGGTTGGGATCTCCCTGCGCAGCCATCTGAGCCGGGAACCCACGTGGCGTCCCAGACTGTCTCTGCGAGGCTATAGGAACCCCTAGGGGAGCCAGGCAGCCCCTTCTTTAGGACACAGGTGGACTCCAGCATAGAGCCCGAGGCTGCTCTCCTGGCCTTGTCCCGCACTGTGGCTCCTGACCACGAAGCAGAGGCGACCTGCTCTACCTGGGCTAGCCTTCATCTTTTCCTCATTTTTTTGTCTATGTAAGCTACTTTGGATCCTTGGCTGGGGGACTGAGGCAAGATATAAACTAAAAATACAAGCTCCTAGTGGGTGTTGTTTTTTGAGACAGTCTCACTGTGTTGCGCAGGCTGGAGTGCAGTGGCACAATCATAGCTCACAGCAACTTCCACCTCCTGGGCTCAAGCAGTTCTCCCACCTCAGCCTCCCAAGTAGGTGGGACTACAGGTACATGCCACCATGCCCAGCTAATTCTTGCATGTTTTGTAAAAATGGGGTTTTGCCACGTTGCCCAGGCTGGTCTCGAACTCCTGAGCAATCCTCCTGCCTTGGTCTGTCAAAGTGCTGGGATTACAGGCATGAGCCATTGCACTCAGCCAAGCTACTAGTGTTTTTTACAAAACTGACAGATGCAGATCAGAGCGAGATGGGTGCACTGTGTGGCAGCTGCTCCGCCATCACCTGTCAGCTCATTACATCCAAGTGCCCTACCCAGGGCTGCTGAGCTCCATTGTCCAAGCAACTAATCCCTGGAAGAGAACCCCACAGACCTGGGGAGGCAGACTCCCAGGGCACCATCTTGGTGCCGCCCATCCAGGTGCATGGTGGGTGTAGGGACGAGGACAACCTGGCAGCACCAAGCCCTGCACGAGCAGGTCTCGGGCCAAGGACACCCACGGCACTCCGGCATCCCAGTTTTTGGGTCTTCAGGGTAGCACTGAGCCCTAGGCTCGTTTCTCCCGATTTCTTCATCTGCAACTATACAATTGAGGGGGGATGTTTTGGTCCCCCGGGCCAGGAGTGGGAGACAAAAGCTGCAGGTGCAAAGGGACCAGCACAAGTCACACCAGAAAGGCCAGTGTTTGTTATCCCCAGATAGCATGTTTAGTAATGGCTGGATTTGATAGGATTTTAAGAAAATAGCTAGCTTGGCCAGGAACAGTGGTTCACAACTGTAATCCCAGCACTTCGGGAGGTTGAGGGGGGTGGATCACCTAAGGTCAGGAGTTTGAGACCAGCCTGGCAAACATGGCGAAACTAAAAACACAAAAAATCAGCCAGGTGTGATGGTGGGTGCCTGTAATCCCAGCTACTCAGGAGGCTGAGGCAGGAGAATTGCTTGAACCCAGGAGGTGGAGGTTGCAGTGAGCCAAGACCATGTCATTGCACTCCAGCCTGGGCAACAAAAGCAAAACTCCATCTCAAAAAAAACAAAAAAAAGCTAGCTGTTCAGGTACACATGGCCCCAGGTCCCACACCTTGTGGAGATGCAAACTTTTCTGCCCTCAATCCCAGAATGATGGGGTATAATTCAGGCCCAGCTCTAGTTTCAGAGGCGGGACCTGCAGCCCACTTGCTGGTCTCATCAGGTCTCATCATTGCACTGGCACCACCCTGGGCCTCAGGCCTGTGTTCTCTGCTTCCCACAGCCTCACAATACCACCTGCAGTTGGTGAAACACAGACCCCACATCAGCCAACCACAGCCACAAAGGTTTAATCAGTTTATCTCACAAGTCAGTAACAATGAGGGGCACAGTGGCGGTCAGGGTGGTGGCCCCAGTGACCAGCTCAGGGAGTATGGCCTCCTCCACACAGCCACTGCCTGGGACAGATGCTATCAGGGCACGACCACAGCCCAGCACTTGCCCCACTCTGTAGTGCTCTGGTGGGCTGTGCACCGCACGCAGATCCTCCTGGTGGGCACTGGAGGCCAGGGTGAAAAAGAGCCTCCCTGCAGCCCAGATCCAGCATGCAAGGTGCTAGATTTCTCAGCAGTTCCACAGGGAAGGCCAGTAGCCTGTCCCTGCTCTCTCGCTTGGGCAATGGGAGGCAGGCTGGCAGCCCTGGGGAGGGGCAAAGCTGTGAGGGGCTCACCCCCACTTCCCAGTGCCAGGCCTGCTGTCCACGCAGAGCAGAAACGGGTTCTTCTGGGACCACTGGTCCTTCTTCCAGACGAGGCTGTGGCACTGGTAGAAAGGGAGGGAGAATGGAGCCTGGCTCTTGTGTGTACAACAGGAAATGCACATTAGGACACAGTGGGAGTCAGAGGGAGGGCACAGACCTGCCCCCAGCCAGGCAGAAAATGGGCCTCCCGAAGCACAAAAGTGACCAAGTACAATTTTCAGTTGCTAAAACAAGACTAGTTTCATTTCCATGTGTAGTTATTTTCTCTTTTGAATAAGCAAAACCAAGCTAAGCTGCATCAGCCAACTTTGTCTTGACCAAGACCTCTGAGACAGCAGACACAAGCACCCACTCCAATGTACCCCTCGGTCATCCCGAGTTCCAAGCACCCACACAATGCCCAGGATGGCTACAAAGGGAAAGCCCCATCTGGGTCCATGACCCATATACCAGGTGCAGAGCCAGGGCAGGGGGCTGTGAAGGCAATACCTGGAGGATCCAACCCCTCCCAGCATGGCCAGGAGGCAGAGCCGGGCAGGGTGATGGGCTACATGGGGCTTGGCCCTTCCCTGTGGCTGGCAGCCCAGATGCTGCAGTAATACGTCCCCAGGCTTCACTACAGTCACTGGCCCAGACCCCAGAATCCAGAGGCTCAACACTAAAGACATCAGCTAATACATAGCAAGATGCGTGCAAACTTCTAGGGGAGCCCAGCAGGCGACTTCACCTGCCTCCTACTCTGGTACTGTCGACTCTGTACAAACCTCCCCTTTGTACTGTCAACTCTGGCTTCCTTTATAAGAAACCAGGAGCACTTCTAGCACATTCCTTCTTTGCCCTGCTCTCTCAAAACCACCCTGACCCCCATGGCCCTTCCTGGAAACATGGTACTCAGAAAAGCAGGGACCACCAGCGGCTGGCAAAGTGCTTGGGGAAAAAAGGAGGTGCAAAGTCAGCAAGAAAACAAAAGCCCGCTGGTCCCGCCAAGGCAGGGTGCGCCTAGTCCCGGGGAATGTTGGGGGGCGGGATCTGCAGGTCGGAGGGCTCCACGCCCCAGATCTCCCGCGCATACTCCGTGATAGTCCGGTCACTGGAGAACTTGCCCGAGCAGGCGATATTCCTGATGACCTTCTTGGTCCACCCCTTGGGGTTCTGCAGGGAAGGAGATGAAATTAGTCTCTGGCGTCACAGGGCTAGGGGCTGCTAAGAGCATGGGATTCCAGAACTTTAGGACTGTTTCCAAATGAGCTCTGAGCCTTGGGGCTGTCCACTGGAAGAGGAGGACATTACAATCAATTGTTGAAAAGGGGACCCCACAGACCAGGAAAGCTACCACATACCTAGATACAGGAAGCAAGGAGCTGGAGAGAAGGTCCCAGCCTTGAAAATTCCTGCTAGGGCATGGCCCCCAAGATGACGATAGGGATAGCACCAGGTAAGAACTGCCCAGGCAGGGGCCGGGTGCAGTGGCTCACGCCTGCAATCCCACCACTTTGGAGGCCGAGGCGGGCGGATCACAAGGTCAGGAGATCGAGACCATCCTGGCTAACACGGTGAAACCCCGTCTCTACTAAAAAATACAAAAAATTTGCTGGTTGTGGTGTCGGGCGCCTGTATTCCCAGCTACTCAGGAGGCTGAGGCAGGAAAAAGGCGTGAACCTTGGAGGCAGAGTTTGCAGTGAGCCGAGATCGCACCACTGCATTCCAGCCTGGGCGATAGAGTAAGACTCTGTCTCCAAAAAAAAAAAAAAAAAACTGCCCAGGCAGATCTAGTGCCAGCAGACATGGCCAAGCACTCTCCTTCGACCAGGGAGCCTCACAGCTGCCGCAAGCTGCAGCTTGCACCAGGCCAGGCTTTCCTCGAGGCCAGCCCTGACTAAGGGAAGAGAAGGTCCCTCCCAGGGCCCTGCCTGGCACTCAGTTTCCAGGCCCCACGTTCTTTTCTTGGCCATTAGGAGCTGTTTTTTCAAGGGAGGGAGTGACAGTGACAGCTTCCCTAAAGGCATTCACAGCCAACTGATGACAAATCAGAAACAAACCCCTCTGGCCTCGGCCAACAACCTGCTCAGCTTGGGAAATAAACAATCCGACCCAACACGTCTACACGGACCCATCCAGCTGCTCCCCCAGCCTCTGGGCCCAGGAGCCTCACCCGGTACAGCTGGTCCACCTGTGCCTGGCACTGCACATAGGCTTCATAGTCTGCAAACACCTTGAACCTGGAATGGGAGAAAGGAGGCTGGGCCAGGGCAGCAGGGAGCCCTGCCCACACTGTCCCGAGGGGAGAGTCCCGGAGCAGGAGGCCAGGCACCATCCACCTGGTCCTGCCTGGAGCGAAGGGGCCCATGCAGCTGGTCAGAGCCA